AGGCCTGCGTGGTCAACGGCATGAAAAATAAAAACGGGCGCATCTGCAAAAATAAAGCGAATGGTCAGCCATTGGGGAAAAGAGGGACATGGCCGGAGAAAGAGAAGAAAGAGAGTTTTGCCAAAGGTTCTTCTGGACTTGAGGAAGGGTCTTCTTCACGAATTCTGGATCCTCGTTGCTTATCCTGCATGCAAATCTGATCCGTGCTTGCAACGTCTTAATGGCTGCAGAGTTGGCAGAGACCCCCCAAGGGCCATCCAGTCCAACCTCCTGGAAGAAAAACACAATCAAAGCCCTCTTGACAGATGGCCATCCAGCCTCTGGTGCAAAGAGGGAGTCTCACCGCACTCCCGAGGCATCAAGTTTCATTCTTAGATGCATAAAGCAGACACATTCGTGACCACAGTGTGTTGTAAACATGTGCTTGGACGGAGAAGACTGGGAGAAATTGGGTCTCCTTTTCTTATCCAGGACCATACAGTCCAACCTGCTATAGGAAAAGCACAATCAAAGCCCTCTTGACAGATGGGCATCCAGCCTCTGTTTTAAAGAGGGAGGCTCACCGCGCATTCGTGAGCACAGTGTGCTGTAAACATACGCTTGGACGGAGAAGATTGGGAGAAATTGGGTCTCTTTTGGGTTTGCGTGCAAATCTTATCCTTGCTTGCATTGTCTTAATGGCTATAGAGTTGGCAGAGACCCCTCCACAGGCCATCCAGTCCAACCCGCTACAGGAAAAGCACAATCCAAGCCCTCCCGACAGATGGCCATCCAGCCACACTCCCAAGGCATTGCAGTCTATTCAGATGCATAAAGCAGACACATTCATGACCATAGTGTGTTGTAAACATGAGCATAGACAGAGAAGACTGGGAGAAACTGGGTCCAGGGCCATTCAGTCCAACCCACTGCAGGAAAAGCACAACCAAAGCCCTCCCGACAGATGGCCATCCAGCCACACTCCCAAGGCATTGAGTTCCATTCACAGATGCATAAATCAGACACATTCATGACCACAGTGTGCTGTAAACATGCACTTGGACAGAGAAAACTGGGAGAAACTGGGTCTCCTTTTCTTATCCAGGACCATACAGTCCAACCTGCTATAGGAAAAGCACAATCAAAACCCTCCCAACAGATGGCCATCCAGCCACACTCCCAAGGCATTGAGTTCTATTCAGATGCATTGAGCAGACACGTTCATGACCACAGTGTGTTGTAAACATGCGCTTGGACGGAGAAGACTGGGAGAAACTGTGTCTCCTTTTCTTACCCACGGCCATTCAGTCCAACCTGCTGCAGGAAAAGCACAATCAAAGCCCTCCCGACAGATGGCCATCCAGCCTCTGTTTTAAAGAGGGAGGCTCACCTCGCATTCGTGAGCACAGTGTGCTGTAAACATACGCTTGGACGGAGAAGATTGGGAGGAACTGGGTCTCCTTTGGCCTTGTGTGCAAACCTTATCCATGCTCGCCTTCTCTTAATGGCTGTAGACTTGGCAGAGACCCCTCCACGGGCCATCCAGTCCAACCTGCTATAGGAAACGCACAATCCAAGCCCTCCCGACAGGTGGCCATCCAGCCACACTCCCAAGGCATTGAGTTCCATTCACAGATGCATAGAGCAGACACGTTCATGGCCACAGTGTGCTGTAAACATGCGCTTGGACGGAGAAGACTGGGAGAAACTGGGTCTTTTCTTATCCAGGACCATACAGTCCAACTGCTATAGGAAAAGCACAATCAAAGTCCTCCCGACAGATGGCCATCCAGCCACACTCCCAAGGCATTAAGTTCCATTCACAGATGCATAGAGCAGACACGTTCATGACCACAGTGTGCTGTAAACATGCACTTGGATGGAGAAGACTGGGAGACATTGGGTCTCCTTTTGCCTTGAAGAACGTGGACTTAAGATGACCGACAGATTGCAACGTCACCTACGGCAGCCTTCCTATAATGCAGGCATGGGCCAACTTGGGCCCTCCCTCCAGGTGTTTTGGACTTCAACTCCCACCATTCCTATAGGAATGGTGGGAGTTGAAGTCCAAAACACCTGGAGGGAGGGCCCAAGTTGGCCCATGCCTGCCTACAATGGCTGCAAATATTCCCCACCTTGCTTGCAACGTTTAGCATCCCATCCCAGACCCGGCAACGAGGTTTTGCATTTTTCTTTCTCTCTCCGTCGACAACAGGATGAAAGGGGCTTCCCTTTTTCTTCTCCTCGGCAGTGCCAATTAGTACCTGATCTAATTACAGTGATTGCCAAATGCGTATTATTATGCCCTACTCCGCACACATGCTTGGCTAATTTCTTGGCAACCTCGCCTGCTCTGGCGCACATGATCGTTTTCCTCAATTGAGAAAAGCGGAGCAAATAGAAACAAGGGTCAGACGTCTTTCCAGGCTTCGACTGCTGCTGTTAGGGCACCATTGGCCAAAACAACCCCCTATATGCAGGGATTATTCAGGACTCAGACTCCAAAAAAAACCCCTATATGTAGGAACTATTCCGGACCCAGACTCCAAAACAGCCTCCTATATGCAGGGACTATTCAGGACTCAGACTCTAAAACCACCCCCTATATGCAGGGACTATTCCAGACCCAGACTCCAAAACAACCTCCTATATGCAGGGACTATTCAGACTCCACAACAACCCCCTATATGCAGGGACTATTTAGGACTCAGACTCCACAACAACCTCCTATATGCATGGACTATTCAGGACTCAAGACTCTAAAACCACCCCCTATATGCAGAGACTATTCAGGACTCAGACTCCAAAACAACCCCCCCCCCCCCCCGGACCCTTTCGGATAACTTCCTTCGGATGAGAAATCGTCTGGCACAAAACAGCACCTTTCTTGGGACGGAGAGAGGCAAAATACGTCAGGAAAAATCAATTCCTAAAAATACACAATGGTTTAGAGTCTAATTACGTGCGGATCAGTGGAGTCTTCATCCCACTTGAAGAATTTCAATTAAGAATATGCTGATGCAAGGAGGTCTCTGAGGCAGACACGAACGGAAGCCCAAGGCGTTTGGTTTTGAGGAGCGCTTGTTTCTGGCTTTGCGGAGGGACCCTGAAACCCTGCTGGAACATATTTAGCCATTATTTCCGAATCAGGACCCACTCCTTGAGGCCGAGGCCTGGAACCTTGTTCATACTTAACTGAAGAAATGAAAGGATGCGTTGATGGGTATCCCAGTCTGATGGCAACGGTCTCAATCCTGAGCCATCCCACTCTTTCAGCTGCTTTTGAAAAGCCCTAGGAGGACATTTCAAAGTTCCTTGGCATGGAAGATGGAGAGACAGCACCTCCCTGTGGCTGGAATCAAGCACAGCCTCCAGATGCCGAAGATGGAAAAAGATGGGAAGCCTTTGCCTCTGTCTGTGTACTGTCTGCCTTTGTTGACTGTATAACAGCATCGGATGTTTGCCATCTATGTATCCTGTAATCCGCCCTGAGTCCCCTCAAGGACATAGGGCAGAATATAGAATCATAGAAACCTAAAGTTGGAAGAGAGCTCATGGGCCACCATTCTGCCAAGAAGCAGGAAAATCACATTCAAAGCACCCCCGACAGATGGCCATCCAACCTCTGTTTAAAAGCTTCCAAAGAAGGAACCTCCACCACACTCCAGGGCAGAGAGTTCCACTGCTGAACGGCTCTCACAGTCAGAAAGTTCTTCCTAATGTTCAGGTGGAATCTCCTCTCTTGTAGTTTGAGGCCATTGCTCCATTGCGTCCTCGTCTCCAGGGCAGCAGAAAACGAGCTTGCTCCCTCCTCCCTAGGACTTCCCCTCACACATTGACACCTGGCCTTCCTCATGTCTCCTCTCAGCCTTCTCTTATGCAGGCTAAACATGCCCAGCTCTTTAAGCCGCTCCTCATAGGGCTTGTTCCCCAGACCCTTGATCCTTTGAGTCACCCTCCTCTGAACACAGTCCAGCTTGTCAATATCTCTCTTCAATTGTGGTGCCCAGAATCCTGAGCCATCCCTCTCTTTCAGCTGCTTTTGAAATGCCCTGGGAGGACGTCTATGGACAACAAAGCTCCTCGGCATGGAAGATGGAGCGACAGCACCTCCCTGTGGCTGGAATCGAGCACAGCCTCCAAATGCCGGAGATGGAAAAAGATGGGAAGTCTTTGCCTCTGTCTGTGTACTGTCTGTCTTTGTTGACTGTATAATGCCATTCAATGTTTGCCATCTATGTGTACTGTAATCCTCAAGGACATAGGGCGGAACAGAAATAAAGTATATTATTATATTGTTATTATGACTGTTAAACCACTCCGAGTCGCCTTTCAGGCTGAGAGGGGCGGAATATAAATATAGTAAATAATAAATAAATAATGTTGTGTTCTACAGTGGTGCAAAATCTCCAGTCTAAGCCCGCTCGCCCATCCGTGGTGCGTGACTTATTCATGTTAGGAAGGGGGAAGTAACCCTGCTCCAATTTCCTCACCTCCATCCCACCACATTATTATTTTAGTTCTAGTTCTTGCTTAAAAAAAAAGAATGCCTCTCATGGGTGCACGCTCATCTCTGAAGAAGACGAGGACTTTGGCTTCCACTTCTGGGACCATCCCGTGCAATTGAGGGACCACGAAATGAGACATGCAGCCATGCCCTAGTGTTTCTGAAGCAGCGCATGGATGATGTGGGAAGTGGAACGTACTCTTCTGCTGCCTTGGATGGGTGTCCATTGTGCAACCCTCCCCACCCCCGGTTCCCCAGGCATGCAAGTCACCCCTCCGACTGGAAACCCAACCTGGAAAGGGCCCATTTCCCACCCACATCGCACCCCAAAAAGCTGTGGTTGTGCAAGGAAGCCTTGCCAATTGACACCCTCCTGTGCAGACTTCGCAAGTCAAAGCCAGAACGAAGAAGGCGCCCCGTGACAGCACGACAGGCACAACGCCCCCACAGCAGGGTGTGTGTGCACCATTTCAGGCCCTTCCTGATGAAATGAGCCCTCAACAAACGTCTGAAATAAATAAATAGGATTTTAGTTCTGCGTAACTACTATCTCCTACGAGTCCTCTCTCTCATGCGGAGCCCTGTCCAAATCCCGTCCTCTGCTTCTGTGCAAAAGGCTCAGGCGGAGAGAGCGGGCTTCCTCCAAACCCCTCTTTTGGCAACAGGACCTGGGCTCCCTTTGGTGAGGGGTTTCCATCCCCACCTTGGAGAGAGCCTGAAAGGCAAGGGGGGGTCCATACGCTGTGGCCGGACGTCCTGCATCGCGGGATTTCGGTGGAGGGGCCTCAATCCACAATCAATACAAAAGGACGACTCCAAAGGGAGGCGGGAGGTTCCTCCTCCTCCAGCGTGGAGAGTGCAGAGCGGCTCCGGGCATGGCCTCCTTTTCAGGGCCGGGGGCTTTGGTCCTCGACCGGCTTGTGAGTGGCAGGGCCGCGGGACGAAGATGGGGGGTGTGGGTGTGGGCCAGGGCTGAGCTGCAGCCGGTCCGGGTGGCAGGTGACCAGGGTGGTCCGGCGCTCGGGGAAGAGGGCCCTCCCGCAGGTCTGGCGCTTCTCGTCCAGGGCGGCCAGGTTGTACTCGCAGAAGTCCACCAGCAGCTCCACTTGCTCGTGGAGGGGGAGCGACTTGTACCTCCGCTGGGCCAGGAAGCAGAGCGCCTCCACAAAGGCCTGCAGGCCCATCCCTGGAAGGCAAGCAGAGGGCAGAACAGGCAGTTCAGCAGAGCAGCCATCTTCTATTATTATTATTATTATTATTATTATTATTATTATTATTATTATTATAGATTATTTTATTAAGGTCAAACATGATGGAAATGGCAACTTTCTTTAAGCCTCCTATACTAGTTATTTATTTATTATTATTATTATTATTATTATTATAGATTTTTATTAGGGTCAGGCATGATGGAAATGGCAACCTTCTTCAAGCCTCCTATACTAGTTATTTGTTATGTATATTATTATTATTATTATTATTATTATAGATTTTTATTAGGGTCAAACATGATGGAAATGGCAACTTTCTTTAAGCCTCCTATACTAGTTATTTGTTATGTATATTATTATTATTATTATTATTATTATTATTATTATTATTATTATAGATTATTTTATTAGGGTCAAACATGATGGAAATGGCAACCTTTTTTAAGCCTCCTATGCTTGTTATTTGTTATTATTATAATAGATTTTTATTAGGGTCAAATATTATGGAAATAGCAACCTTCTTCAAGCCTCCTATACAAGTTATTTGTTATGTATATAATTCAGATTGCTTACTGTATTGTATATGTCTGTGTTGGTATGCCATTTAGCCTTAACTCTATGTTATGGGAGTGTCTGCAGACCATGTGATCAGGATCTGGGACTATTCAGAACTCAGACTCCATTTTAGAAACAATATGCTTTCAGGCACCAGTAGAAAACTGGTGAAGAAACAGTTCTGCAGGTCTATCCCTGGAAAGGCCATTGAGTGGAGCAGCAATCTACTACTACTACTACTACTACTACTACTATAGTTTTTTTAATTAGAGTCAAGCATGTTGGAAATAGCAACCTTCTACAAGCCTCCTATACTAGTTACTTGTTATGTATATAATTCAGGTTACTTACTGCATTGTATGTGTGTGTATTGGTGTACGATTTACCCTTAACTCTATGTTGTGGGAGGGGCTGCAGACCATGTGATCAGGTCTATTACTGTTCTGCAACTTCTATCACCACTCTCCATTGGTTACATGTCTAGGGCTCATGACATTTGTAGTCTAGCATCACCTTGAGACCAAGGTCAGTGGCTGGAAAAAGCAAGTTTACTTTCTGGCTTATTCTGGCTGCACTCCCTATATGCAGGGACTATTCAGGACTCAGACTCCATTTTAGAAACAGTATGCTTTCAGATGCCAGTAGAAAACAGTATGTTTTAGAAACAGTTCTGCAGGCCTATCCCTGGAAGGCAAGCAGAGGCCGGAGCAGAAACTGAGCAGAGCAGCAATCTATTATTATTATTATTATTATTATTATTATTAATATTGATTTTTTTCCTTCCTTCCTTCCTTCCTTCCTTCCTTCCTTCCTTCCTTCCTTCCTTCCTTCCTTCCTTCCTCTCCAAGCCCCCCTGTTGATAAACACTCTAATCCCTCTCCCCAGCATCCTGTTTTGAGCCTACTTAGTGGATATTAAAACAACACTCATCCATTACAATTTTTAATAAAACCTGACAATTAGATTGGCGCAAGGGATGCCAAACGAGCGTTGGAGGCTTCATGTTGCTAAGATGCATTGGCTGGGGTATTAAAAACGAGTGAGAGGAAAGGGACACTCATAGAAAAGGCAGAAAGAAAGAAAGAAAGGAAGGAAGGAAGGAAGGAAGGAAGGAAGGAAGGAAGGAAGGAAGGAAGGAAGGAAGGGCAAAACAAAGAGAGGAGTCTCTTCTCAAACAGAAGCAAACAAGACAGCAATGAGAATGGTGACCCATGGTTGATGCACCCCAAGGCAAAGTACCTCATTGAGCCCAAGAGAAGAATCCTCCACCTTGTGTGACTGAGGAGCAGAACAGACAGCTTTGCATCTCTATGCTTGTCCACTATGTCCTGCCTCATGTACAGAGCGATGAGAACTGTGTCCCACTGTAGATGCGCCCAAAAGCAAAGCACCTCACTGAGCCCAAGAGAAGAATCCTCCACCTTGTGTGACTGTGGAGCAGAACAGACAACTCCGCATCTGTATGCTTGTCCACTATGTCCTGGCTCATGTACAGAACAATGAGAACGGTGTCTCACTGTAGATGCACCCAAAGGCAAAGCACCTCACTGAGCCCAAGGGAAGAATCCTCCACTTTGTGGGACTGTGGAGCAGAACAGACAACTTTGCATCTCTATGCTTGTCCACTATGCCCTGCCTCATGTACAGAGTGACGAAAACAGTGTCCCACTGTAGATGCTCCCAACGGCAAAGCACCTAATTGAGCCCAAGGGAAGAATCCTCCACCTTGTGTGACTGTGGAGCAGAACAGACAACTCTGCATCTCTGCTTGTCCACTATGTCCTGCTTCATGTACAGAGCGGTGAGAACAGTGTCCCAGTGTAGATGCGCCCAAAGGCAAAGCACCTCATTGAGCCCAAGAGAAGAATCCTCCACCTTGTGTGACTGTGGAGCAGAACAGACAACTCTGCATCTCTATGCTTGTCCACTATGTCCTGCCTCACGTACAGAGCGGTGAGAACGGTGTCCCAGTGTAGATGTACCCCAAGGCAAAGCACCTCATTGAGCCCAAGAGAAGAATCTTCCACTTTGTGTGAGTGGAGCAGAACAGACAACTCTGCATCTCTATGCTTATCCACTATGTTCTGCCTCATGTACAGAGGAGGAATTGTTGGAGGCTACAGACAATGCCGTTGCTGTTGTCCGTTTTTGGTCAAAAGATATCTAACCGCTAGTGCTCCTTCTATTTTTATCAGTTTTATACTAATTTATGCAATGCTTTTGATACGAAATCAATCAATAAAAAGCCCAAGGGAAAGAATCCAGCAAAATCCTCAGAGCAGCTGGATTTCTGACTGGCTCCAAGGAAAGAAAGCGCAACAGCTTTCAGAAAGAAAAGAGGGAAAGGGAGGCGGGGGAGATGGTGCCACTCTCTAAAGCGGCGTCAATAAATATTTCTTATCACTCCATTCTGGTCAGCAAAACAAAAGATGCGGCAAAAACACAACACCAGGCAGGCACACCCACAAATCTGTCACCGGAGAACAACAGATTCTGCTTATCTGCAGCAATTTAAGATGCAAAGCGCTCCACCGCCCCTCAAAGACAAAACCACGCCGACCAAGCGTTAATCCAGAATTAACAATGGGCCAGATGGCCACGCTCGTTGTGAGCCATAAACATGAAAAATACGCTTCCTCTTTGCTTCAGATTGCCCATCAATTTGCGTCCTGACTAATGGGACTCAGGGAAAAAGAAAAGAAAAGTTGGGGGGCTTTTCTGCTCAATGTGCTGCAAACAAGATGTCCCCCCCCCTCCATCCGCCTGCACCCCATTCCCCCCATCTTTGCAAGGTCTCGGAGAGGAATGGCACATCTCCTGTTCTCTGCCTTGCGGATTGGGCCCTTCCGTGCTCCTTGCTCAACAAATCCGCTCTCGGTTTTAGTCCGAACTTTAAAGGTCATCTATAGGCAGGAAGGAAATGTGGCTCCCCGCTTGGAAAGCGCTTATTCTTATGTATTGTCGAAGGCTTTCATGGCCGGAATCACTGGGTTGTTGTAGGTTTTTTCGGGCTATATGGCCATGTTCTAGAGGCATTTTCTCCTGACGTTTCGCCTGCATCTATGGCAAGCTTCCTCAGAGGTAGTGAGGTGACTCGTCACTACCTCTGGGGATGCTTGCCATAGATGCAGGCGAAACGTCAGGAGAAAATGCTTCTAGAACATGGCCATATAGCCCGGAAAAACCTACAACAACCCGCTTATTCTTGCTTTCGAATTAGATTCTCTCAAGTCTATTGTTTCCCCCCACTTTTTGGTTTTATCTAGGAGAGAACTTCATCCCTAATCTTCCTTCTTAGGGTCTTATTTCAGGCTGGGTCTACACTGTGGGATTCTGAATTCAACCCACAGAAAAATATTATTATTATTATTATTATTATTATTATTATATAATTATAATATAATATTATTATAATATTATTATATATATTATTATATAATTATATAATAAATATTATTTTATATATATAATTATATAATTATGTAATAAAATAATTATATAATAATATAATAACAATATAATAGGTAAAGGTAAAGGTTTTTCCCTGACATTAAGTCCAGTCGTGTCCGACTCTAGGACTCTGGTGCTCATCATACCTTCCCGCCAGAGCAGTACCTATTGATCTACTCATATTTTCATGTTTTCGAACTGCTAGGTTGGCAGAAGCTGGAGCTGACAGCGGAAGCTCATGCTGCACCCTGGATTCAAACCTGTGACTTTTCAGTCAACAAGTTTAGCAGCTCAGCGCTTTAACCCACTGTGCCACCGTGGGCACAATAATATAATATAATATAATATAATATAATATAATATAATATAATATAATATAATATAATATAGTATAGTATAGTATAGTATAGTATAATATTATATTATTATTAAATTATTATTACATGATTATATAATAATTATAGGATAAAATAAATATATAATAATGTAATAAAATAATTATATAACAATATAATAACAATATAATAGGTAAAGGTAAAGGTTTTTCCCCGACATTAAGTCCAGTCGTGTCTGACTCTGGGACTTTCATCTCCATTTCTAAGCCAAAGAGCCGGCGTTGTCCGTAGACACCTCCAAAGTCATGTGGCCAGCATGACTGCAAGGAGCACCGTTACCTTCCTGCCGGAGCGGTACCTATTGATCTACTCATATTGTCATGTTTTCGAACTGCTAGGTTGGCAGAAGCTGGAGCTGACAGTGGAAGCTCATGCTGCACCCTGAATTTGAACCTGTGACCTTTCGGTCAACACGTTTAGCAGCTCAGCGCTTTAACCCACTGTGCCACCGGGGGCACAATAATATAATATAATATAATATAATATAATATAATATAATATAATATAATATAATATAATATAATATAATAATTATATAATAATTATATAATAATTATATAATAATTATATTATAATAATAATAATAATAATAATAATTATTATTATTATTATTATTATTTGTATTTGTTACCCGCCTCTCCTAATGGTCCAAGTCATAGGTACCCTACCCCACCCTTAAAACCCTCCTTCTGGGAGTCAAGGGGGGGGGGGGCTGGCTCACCTGAGTCTCTCTGCTCGACCCCATAGCTGCTGCCCCTCCGGGTGATGTCGATGTAGAGGATGTCGGCCGCGGCCATGCTGAACCCGCTGTTGCTCACCCTGCTATTCCTGGAACAGAGGAAAAAAGGGGTCGTGAGGAAAAAGCCACCCTCTATCTCCCCGAGGGGACTCGGAACAGATTACAGAATACGTAATGGCAAGCATTCAATGCCGTTATACAATTAACAAGGACAGACAGTACATAGACAGAGGCAAAGGCTTCCCTCTTTTCATCTGGAGGGTTTTTTCCCATTGGCGAAGGAGGTCTTGCACAATGAAAGCCCCCTCACAGATGGTCATCCAGCCTCTTGTTGGAAAGCCTCCAAGTTGCTAAGAGGCAGAGAGTTCTACTGTTGAATGGCTACTATGTATGGCTTTAACTATATGAATTTGGCTGTATTCTCATTTGATTGGACTCGATTGCAAGCCGCCTTGAGTTAACAACCTGAGAGAAAGGTGGGATGTAAACAAAAGGGTGGATGGAATGGAGGGGAAGCCTCAAAGTTGCACTGAGTTCTGGTCCTACGTAATGTTTTTTTGTATGTTCTTATGTCAGTAAGTGCAATGCTTATTACCATGTTGGAAATCGCCCTGAGTCCCCTCAGAGAGATAAGAGTGGTATACAAATAAAGGTTTTATTATTATTATTATTATTATTATTATTATTATTATTATTATTATTATTATTATGCTGACACAAAAACATAGTATGTCACAGCAAATGAGATCTATATGCTAGATTTTTATTATTAATTTATTATATTTTTATTACAGTTTTTATTATATGCTGGATTATTTTTTATTACAATTTTTATTATATGCTGGATTATTATTATTATTATTATTATTATTATTATTATTATTTTACTGACACAAAAACACAGTATGTCACAGCAAATGAGATCTATATACTGGATTTTTATTATTAATTTATTATATACATGTAAGCCGCCCCGAGTGCCCATTGGGGAGATGGTGGCGGGGTATTAAATAACTATTATTATTATTATTATTATTATTATTATTATTATTATTATTATGTATTTTACTGTGTTGTTATTGTGTTTTGGTTTCACTTTATTGTAATATGCTGTTGGGCTTGGCCTCATGTAAGCTGCCCCGAGTCCCCATTGGGGAGATGGTGGCAGGGTATTAAATAAAGATTATTATTATTATTATTATTATTATTATTATTATTGATTGTAATGATGAGTCAGGAGCACAAATTGCTTCAACTGACATAACAACTATCTCAGCTCCGTAGGGATACACCTATAGGAAAATAATAATAATAATAATAATAATAATAATAATAATAGCAATAATAGTAATAATGATGACCCCTAACCTTTCACCTTATAAATGTCCGGAAGGCGGTGGGCCCCAACTTGGTGGTCCCTTTCAGGCCCAGGAAGCGGATGAAGAGCGCCGCGATGCGCTCCACCAGCCGCAGGAAGTTGAACTGCTTGGCGTATTTGGGGAAGACTTGCTTCAGGCAGAGGGAAGGGGCCTTCTCCTCCTCCAGGCTTTCCCGGCGGTGCAGCTCCAGCCTGTCTATGGAGTCCTCGTCCAGGAAGTCTTCCTCCTCCTCCTCCTCTTCCTCCTCCTCCTCGTCATCGAGGGGCGCAGGCTCCGCTCTGCCGGTCAAAGAGGGGCGAAAACAACAACGGCATTAGGACCTTGGAGTGCACCTGACCTTGGAGGTGTCTATGGACAACACTGGCTGTTTGGCTTGGAAATGGAGATGAGCACCAGCGTCCCAGAGTCAGACACGACTGGACTTAATGTCAGGGGAAAACCTTTGCCTTCACGTAGTAGTAGTATCGGCATTAGTATTATTATATGTTATGAGCTAAGAAGCTCCCGGCAGTGCAGTGGTTTAAACTGCTGAGCTGCTGAACATACTGGTGAACCTAGCAGTTTGCAAACATGCAAATGTGAGTAGATCAACAGATACCGCTCTGGCGGGAAGGTAACGCCAGCTCTTTGGCTTAGAAATGGAGATGAGCAACAAAGTCCCAGAGTCGGACACGACTGGACTTAAGGTCAGGGAAAAACCTTAACCTTTACCTATTATACTGTTATTATATTATTATATAATTATTTTATTACATTATTATATATGTATTTTATCCTATAATTATTATATAATCATGTAATAATAATTTAATAATAATAATAATAATAATAATAATAATAATATACTATATTATATATAGGAAGGTACTCTGGAGGGAAGGTAATGGTACTCCTTGCAGTCATGCTGACCACATGAACTTGGAGGTGTCTATAGACAACGCCGGCTCTTTGGCTTAGAAATGGAGATGAGCACCGGAATCCCAGAGTCGGACATGACTGGACTTAATGTCGGTGAAAACCTTTGCCTTCACGTAGTAGATCAATAGGTACCGCTCTGGCGGGAAGTTATGGACGCTCCATGCAGTCATGCCAGTGGCCACATGACCTTGGAGGTGTCTATGGACAACGCCAGCTCTTTGGCTTGGAAATGGAGATGAGTAGAGTCGGACACGAGTGGACTTAATGACGGGGAAAACCTTTGCCTTCACGTAGTAGATCCAGCGGGAAGGTATGGGCGCTCCATGCAGTCATGCCAGTGTCCACATGACCTTGGAGGTGTCTATGGACAATGCCAGCTCTTTGGCTTAGAAATGGAGATGAGCACCAAAGTCCTAGAGTCGGACACGACTGGACTTAATGTTGGGGAAATCCTTTGCTTTCACATAGTAGATCAATAGGTATCGCTCTGGTGGGAATGTATGGGCGCTCCATGCAGTCATGCCAGTGGACACATGACCTTGGAGGTGTCTATGGACAACGCCAGCTCTTTGGCTTAGAAATGGAGATGAGCACCAAAGTCCTAGAGTCAGACACAACTAGACTTCATGTCAGGGGAAACCTTTATGTTTATCTCCTATATCTATCTATCTACCTATCTATCTATTGATCGATCGATATTATCTATCTATCTATCTATCTATCTATCTATCTATCTATCTATCTATCTATCTATCTATCTATCTATCTATCTAATCTATTATCTATCTATCTATTTATTTATTGATACTGTCTATTTTCTATCTATATAATAAACAGTGTTTGTATGTGATGGTGTATGTATGTTTTGATGACGTTTTGAATCCCTGCTTGTCCTGGAACCACCCAAGGCGCACTCTCTCAGCCTCAAAATTGGCCGGAAGAATCAGAGGAAGCCAGCACAAGCAGGGTTTCGTTTCCATCCCGATGTCTGACCCCAATGCGTTTGCTCCTCTAATTTGCTGACCGGCGACAGATCTGCCTTCCGAAGGGAAAAAAGGGAATGAAGGAGAGGGAGAGAGAGAGATAGGATTTCAATTTGGACCAAGCCGATGACAATCCGAGCGCCCGCTTATCTTTTAAACATGATGGCTAATTTATGAACACTTCTTCTTCTTCCCTCGCCTGCCTTAATCTTTATGCCGAGACACGCCGGCCGGGGCCTCCCTGGGATGCCTTTTCCAGCCGCTAATTAAAAGCGGAGAGATTTACGGCGGTGGCCCAAATGGCAGCTGTCAAGTTCAAAGTCAAATGGAGGCCGCAGACGGTGGTTTCGGGGAAGGAAAGGAGGAAGGAAGAGAAGGGCACGTCTGCTCCGGGGAAGGAGATTTAAGGCGCACCCACCACTCTGGATAATGAATGCAGCCTGGCCCCACTTGATGGGAGATGCAGTTTGGTGAGACAGAGACGGAGCAAGGCTTTGTTTGGCGGAAAATACAACTTTAAACTGCTGAGCTGCTGAACTTGCTGGTGAACGGTCAGTGGTTTGAATCTGGGGAGTAGGGTGAGTGCCTGCTATCAGCCCCAGCTTCTGCCAACCTAGCAGTTAGAAAAAAATGCAAATGTGAGTTGATCAACAGATACCGCTCTGCCAGGCAGTTAAGGTGCTGGCCACATGGCCTTGGAGGTGTCTATGGATAACACCAGCTCTTTGGCTTGGACATGTGCTTTTCATCACACTGAGCCAGGGCAGCAAAAGGGGTGTCAAGTTGCATTGATTCTACAATGTAGACGCACCCTTCGCCTGCGTCTCAAACAGCACAACAGGTTAAACCACCAGCTGCAGAAAATCTTTGCAGTTCAAAGCCATGAATAGAGGTGAGCTCCCGCTGTCAGCCCTAGCTCCTGCCCACCTAGCAGTTCCAAAACAGTAGTGTCAGGTATTTCTTGAACCTGAAGCAGAGTTTATCAGCTCGAACCTCCAAGCAATATTAAAGTACTGCCTATAGTATATGAGCAATACTACTACTACTACTAATAATAATAATAATAATAATAATCCTTTATTTATACCCCGCTACCATCTCCCGCAGGACTCGGTGCGGCTTACAAGAGGCCGAGCCCAAATACATCATAAAAACATAACAACAATACAACTATAAATAACTCATAACAAAACAAAACAATACAATATTGCTGGGCATGTCCAAGGGAAATAGGAAAGGTATTTTAGGGGTAGGTGGGCATGCAGACAATCCTAAATCTCTCGTAAAGTGCATTTGGAACATATTGCTTGGGAAGGCACACTGGAACATCCATGTTTTCAAGCTCCTTCTAAAGACTGCCAACGTTGGGGCCTGCCTGATGTCCTTGGGGAGGGAGTTCCAGAGTCATGGGGCCACCACCGAGAAGGCCCTGTCCCTCGTTCCCACCAATCACGCTTGTGATGCAAGTGGGATCGTGAGCAGGGCCTCTCCAGATGATCAAAGAGATCGTGTGGGTTCGTATATAGAAATGCGGTCACGCAGGTGGATGGGTCCCAAACCGTTTAGGGCTTTGATTAAAAAATGGGTTCAATATTAGAAATTCCATAACCTATTGGAAATCATTGCACCATAACCTTATTGAAAAGGTAAAATTGACGTCAAATGTGAATCTTCCTTAAACATGGAGACCACTTTTTGGAAACCACTAGTCGAGGAAAGGCATGACCTTGTTAGAAGTCAACCCTTTGAACAAGTGATATTCATAAGCATTCACGTAATGGCACACAAGTAACTCAGCTGTTAGACTGAAGAACCATGTCTTTAAACTGCCAATTTATTTATTTATTTATTTGACTTGTATACTGCCACTCCCAATTTGGCTCGGAGAGGTTTACAGCAGTAGATCAAAACAATACAACCAACTTTAAAATACAATAAAAACGATTAACAATTATACACATTTACTAACAGTTAGTGGAGGCGTGGAAGGTTGCTATTTCCAACCATCAATAGGTACCGCTTTGGCAGGGAGGTAAAATCTTGCCCATGCAGACCATTCGATCAGGAAGGCGTCCACGGACAACAGGCTCCTCGACATGGAAAATGGAACACCAGCACCTCCATGTGGTCAGAGTTGAGCACACCCTCCAGATGCCAGAGATGGAAAGAGGGAAGCCTTTGCCTTTGTCTGTGTAATGTCTGTCTTTGTTGTTATTTGTATAATGGCACTGAATCTGCTCTGAGTCCCGTCAGGGAGATAGAGCGGAATATAAATAATAATAATAATAATAATAATAATAATAATAATAATAGTAGTAGTAGTAGTTGTTGTTATATTAGTCTGTCATTCTCACTTTCCATTTGGGGTCTTGGAATGAATCCACTACCATTGCTGGCCTTCTGCTTTTACTTGGGCAAGAGTCGGCTCTTATAGCACCGGAACATGAAGGCCATGACTAATTCTTTATCACAGGCCAACGTGGGCCCTCCAGGTGTTTTGGACTCAAAACACCCACAATTACGGCCCAAGTTGGCCTGTGCCTGCCTTATCTATGGATTCCTCCATGAATTCCACAGTGCAGATGCGTCCAAAGTGACAGGATCACCATATCTGCCTGGGATTGGTCCTCCAAGTGTAGTCCGTAAGTGACTGTGGAGCCCTATCTTTGACCTGCATGTTCTCCCTCAGTGAATGCATCGGTTTCCAGACGGAAAGCAGTCTCGATCGATGTTGGCTTGATGCGCCTTCCTCTTGGCACGTTTCTCTCTTTCACCCTCCACTCGTGCCTCTTCAAATTCTACAGCACTGCTGGTCACAGCTGACCTCCAACTGGAGCGCTCAAGGCCCAGGGCTTCCCAGTTCTCTCTTGGTGTCTATGCCAGAGTTTTTGAGGTTGGCTTATTAATGTTGTGTTATTATGTTGTTTGATGTATTTTGGGCTTTGGTCTCATGTAAGCCGCACCAAGTCCCATGGGGAGATGGTAGCGGGGAACAAATAAAGTTTTATTATTATTCGAGCCCGTCTTTCAATCTCTTTTCCTGCCACCAACATTCCATTTTCCGTTCTTGAGTTGGGAGTAGAGCAACTGCTTTGGGAGACGGTGGTCAGGCATCCAGACAACGTGGCTGGTCCAGCGGAGTTGATGGTGGAGGAGCATCGCTTCAGTGCTGGTGGTCTTTGCTTCTTCCAGCATGCTCACATTTCCCCGCTTGTCTTCCCAAGAGATTTGCAGGATTTTCTAGAGGCAGTGCTGATGGAATCGTTCCAGGAGTTGCATGTGACGCCTGTAGACAGTCCTCTTTTCCTGATTTTAACTCCAAGATCTTCCAGAATCTGACACAAATGGTCCTCTGAGAGGGGCAGGGGTATTCAAATTAGGAGGAGGAGCTATGCAAATAGGAGAGGTCTTCCTTCCCAATTGTTGTGCTCTTCTTGCCGGCAAGAAGCAAAAACACCTTCAGATATAGATTTGGACAATTCCAAACTCATCCCAGAGAAACTGGCACCATTTTGGGGTTGTTTTGTGGGCTCACCAAAGCTGCTATGTTTATTATTTGTAGGGAGAGGAGGGGAAACAAACGGAGAGAAGGCATGACGGACGCCTCTGTCCCGTTTTCTTTTTCCTGATGGCTAATTAGCGCTAATAAAGCAGGACTCGCCTGTTTCCTTTCCGCCCGACAGGATCATTATGGGGAGGATTGGCTCTTCAAACGCCGTTCGGAGAGAAAGCGCAGGAGAAAGCGCTCGGCTCCCAATTAAACACCAGGCAGGAAGGCAAACGCCTGGTGGCAATGACATTACATACATATATATGCACATAAAGGCACGCACATTCCCCATTCCCCAGCCCCATTTCAGTGTCAAAGCCTCGTTCAAAAGATCACGTATTCCCCTCTGTACGCACACCCCAACACCACAAGAGATCGGGGACAATCCTGGATGAACCATCACCAATTAAGCCTGGTGTTGTTGCAACATTTTAAGTTGACGGAGGCGGCACAGAGACACACACAAACACAAGCTTCCTGTAGAACGAGTGGAGGAAGCATTGGGGAAAGAGATTTCATTAAAACTACCATGGACGGTCCTCACTGCCTTGAGCAGGCCTGGGCCAACGTGGGTCCTCCTTCCAGGTCTTTTGGACTCCCACTCCCACAATGTGGATATGCAGATGACTCTTTGATTAACTGACGTGTCCTGTTCCAAGAGGACAAAGGCCTGGGCCAACTTGGGCCCTCCCTCCGGGTGTCTTGGACTCCAGCTCCCACAACATGGGTATGCAGATGACCCCTTGACTGACTGAAGTGTCCAGTTCCAAGAGGTCAAAGGCATGGGCCAACTTGGGCCCTCCCTCCAGGTGTTTTGGACTCCAACTCCCACAACGTGTGTAGCAGATGACCCCTTGATTGACTGTGTCCAATTCCAAGAGGACCAACTCGGGCCCTCCTTCCAGGTGTTTTGGACTCCAACTCCCACAACGTGGCTATGCAGATGATCCCTTGATTGCCTGAAGTGCCCAGTCCCAAAAGAACAAAGGCATGGGCCAACTTGGGCCTTCCCTCCAGGTGTTGTGGACTTCAGCTCCCATAACGTGGGTATGCAGATGACCCCCTGATTGACTGAAGTGTACCTTTCGAAGAGGACAAAGGCATGAGCCAGCATGGGCCCTCCCTCCAGGTGTTTTGGACTTCAGATCCCAAAACTTGAGTATGCAGATGACCCCTTGATTGACTGAAGTGTCCAGTTCCAAGAGGACAAAAGCATGAGCCAACTTGGTCCCTCCCTCCAGCTGTTTTGGACTCCAACTCCCACAACGTGGGTATGCAGATGACCCCTTGACTGACTGAAGCGTCCAGTTCCAAAAGGACCAAGGCATGGGCCAACTTGGGCCTTCCCTCCAGGTGTTTTGGACTTCAGCTCCCACAACATGGGTATGCAGATGACCCCTTGACTGACTGAAGTGTCCATTTCCAAGAGTATAAAGGTATGGGCCAACTTGGGCCCTCCCTCCAGGTGTTTTGGACTTCAACTCCCACCATTCCTCACAGCCTCAGGCCCCTTCCTTTTCCTTTTTCACTTTCCTTTTCTGCTTAAGTGGCTGAGGGGGAAACGGAAGGGGCTGGGGGCTGTTAGGAATTGTAGGAGTTGAAGGCCAAAACACCTGGAGGGAGGGCCCAAGTTGGCCCCGGCCTGGCATAGAGTCTTGTATCATTGAAAAGCACAAACGTTCATCCCTCCTTTCTTTTGGGGGGAGTGAAAAACTGCAAACGGCAAGAAGGATATGGCTTTCACCTGCATCTCACCTTCTTGTCATTCCAAGAAAGAGTCCCTGCTCTGTATCTCTTTCTGCCAAGGATGACATTTCACTCAGGAGGGAGGACGGCATTTTGGGCTCCAAAGATGGGGGAAAGAGGGAGGGAGAGCAGGTCCTTTTGAAAGCCCATGTTTATTCTCTCCAAACAAGGAGATGGTTTTTTTCCCCCCCTTTCAAGCATGCAATTTCCACACATTTCAGCCGGGATGAGATAAGCGATTCATCAGCGCCGCTCTCCCTCGGACTGAATGGATATGCAAATCCACAATGGCGGGATTTCAAGAGCGGGAGATGATGCCCGGGAATCAGAAACACGTCGAACGGAAAGTGCAAATTACTCAGGCCTCTTGGATCTAATATTAGAGAGAGCGATTAAAAGGAAAACACGGTGCCAAAGAGGGAGGGAAGCAGGCAGGGAAACAAGCCTCCACGGTCGAGAGACTGGCTCTCTGCTGCAAAGTGGGCCCGGTCCCCCACAAAAAGCCCCACTCATCCTTGGCAGGGAGATTGTTCTGCTTACCCCACAATCTCACAGGCTAAAAGGGCCAGAGTTAGGCCTTTGGGACAGAGAACCAGCAGAGATGCGCTGGACATGGAGGCTGCCTTTGCACAACTAAAACTTGTGTGCGAACTGCACCCATTCCTACACAAGTCTGACTTGGCCACAGTGGGACACGCACTGGTTACGTCCCATTTGGACTACTATAAAGCACTCTACATGCATTACAGAAAGTCCAATTAGTCAAGAGAACTACTATAGCTCAGTGCTAGGGAATCATGGGACTTGCAGTCTGGTGAAGCACTAGCACTCCAGTTCTTGCAAAACTATAGCAGTCAAAGCCATGGCAGTCAAAGTGGTGTCAAGCAACAACAGACACCCTCCAGCGCCATTTCTGAGCTCTCTTATTTTTTGGAGAGGCCTCTGGAAATGGATGGTCCGTGCCTGCTGGAACAGCACCGGGATTGTGGCGCAGCTGGCTGAGTGTCAGCTGCATTAAGATCACTCTGACCAAAAGGTCATGAGTTCGAAGCCAGCCCAGGTTGGAGTGGGTTTCCAACCAATTGTGTGTAGCCTGTTGTCGACCTTTGCAACCCGAAAGACAGTTACATCTGTCAAGTAAGAAAATTAGGTACCACCTTAAAGTGTGGGGAGGCTAAATTAACTGATTTATGAGGCCATAAAGAAGACTCCAGCAAAGCATTCCAGTGGGGAAGCATGCGGAAGTGCTTCATCAGCGTCGCAGATCCCACTGGAGCATTGCAGCGCACCCAAGTACCTGGGAGTCACTCTGGACTGTGCTCTTACCTACAAGAAGCACTGCCTGAACATCAAGCAAAAAGTGGGCGCTAGAAACAATATCATACGAAAGCTGACTGGCACAACCTGGGGATCACAACCAGATACAGTGAAGACATCTGCCCTTGCGCTGTGCTATTCTGCTGCTGAGTACGTATGCCCAGTGTGGAACACATCTCACCACACTAAAACAGTGGATGTGGCTCTGGATGAGACATGCCGCATTATCACAGGGTGTCTGCGCCCTACACCACTGGAGAAATGACACTGCTTAGCACCACCTGACATCCACCGGGAAGTAGCAGCCAATAGTGAAAGGACCAAGGCAGACACATCTCCAGCTCATCCCCTGTTTGTTTGGGTATCAGCCAGCACATCAACGACTTAAATCTAGAAATAGTTTTCTAAGATCTACAGAGACACTCGCCGGAACACCCCAGCAAGCGAGAGTCCAAAAGTGGCAGGCTCAAACCCAGAACCTCAACCAATGGCTGATACCAAATGAGAGACTCCCCCCTGGGCACACAGAAGACTGGGCGACTTGGAAAGCGCTGAACAGACTTCGCTCGGGCACCACGAGATGCAGAGCCAACCTTCAGAAATGTGGCCACAAAGTGGAATCCTCGACATGCGAGTGTGGAGAGGAGCAAACCGCTGACCACCTGCTGCGATGCACCCTGATCCCTGCCACATGCACAATGGAGGACCTCCTTGTGGCAATACCAGAGGCACTCCAAGGGGCCAGATACTGGTCAAAGGACATTTCATCAACTACCAAACTCACAATTTTCGTATTTTGTCTGTTTTTTTTTTTTGGCTTTGTTCTTTTAGAAATGTAATATAATCGACTGGTTGCCCTGACACGATAAATAAATAGCGTCGCAGATGGATGATGAAAGCGACAGCTCCCCTGGCGGACAGAAAAAGTTAAATAGCCTCTGTCTATGTCAGTATATGTTTGTATGTCAAAAATTGGCATTGAATGTTTGCCATATATGTGTACACTGTAATCCTCGCTGAGTCCCCTGCGGGGTGAGGAGAAGGGCGGAATAGAAAAGCTGTAAATAATAAATAAATAAATAAACTGACCACAAACCTGAAGCAAGGTGTGCAAAAGAGCAGCAGGTTGAAGAATTCAGAAGTCCAACTGAGCATTTCTCTTGTGAAAAGGGAATGACACCAAGGCGCTACTCACCCCATTTCCCCCTGCTGCTGCAGCTTCTTCTTCTTGCGGGGGTCCACCAAGCGGAGGGTGTCCCGGATGACGGCCACCTTGATTTCCTCATCGACGGGGCTTGGGATGTATTCAAAGACTCCTGGAGACACCTGGGAGCCCACAGCCCAAGAAAGGCATTGCTGGTGAGACCTCACACTCACCCACACCCTGCTCAAGGCTTTCAAAAGGATAAGGCCCCACCAAGAACTGCTTCCTCACCTTTCCCTTCCCTCCAAGCTAAGCCTCCCTAGGCAGGAGCAATCTATCTGTACGTCACGGTCGAGGAGGTACAGTGAGGAAACTTCCCTGGTTGAAACTACTGGCACAGGACAAGCCCGGTCACCTTGTGCAGCAAAAAGCGAGGCTTACCTCTTTCTCGTGCTCGATTTTCATGCTGGGGTTAGCATTCACCTCCAGCAGAATCGGCTTCAGGTTCTTCATCAGGAGAATGTCAAACCCTAAAATCTTTACAGAAGAGAAAGGGGTCAATAGCCCTCTCTGCACTTTTCCACTTCCAAACCTATTTATTTATTTATTTACACTATTTATATTCTGTCCTTCTCACTCTGAAGGGAACTCAGGGCGGAACACAGAACACATACACGGAAAACATTCAATACAATAACAAGACAGACAACAGATATAGGTTTTTTCCCATCTTTTGGCATCTTGGAGGCAGTGCTCGCTCCAGCCACAGAGGGGTGCTGTCGCTCCATCTTTCTGCCAAAGACCTTTCTTTTGTTCGTAAATTTCCTCCTTTTTCTGATCGATACCTGCCTGCTTTCTCGCAGTTTGTATTTATCGACTCACATTTGTTTTCAATCTGCTACGTCGGCAGGGAGCTGGGCTACAGGCCAGGAACTCACCCTGACCCAAGCTTCCAACAGTCAACCTTCCGGCTGGCAAGATTTCTTGCATCTGGTGGTTAACCTGCTGCGCTAAAACCTGGCCCAAACAAACCAAACAAGCAAATAATCTTCAACTGGTCTGAGCTTAACAGACAGGGATGCACTCCTGACCTATTTTCTCATAAACAAAAACAAACAAACATATCAAAACTTGAGCTTCTTCTGGGCAAAATTATGAAAAGGGTTTTCCTGTACTTTTCAATATTTCCCCCAACAATTGTTTTTCCTTTTTGACAATTGATGGTTTTCTCCAAAATTGCCTTGAAGTGTTGGGGTGAGGGAATATATACAAACCCCTTCCTGGTTTTGCACAATTAGCACTGTGAAGAGTGCACAAGACAACCTATTGCACAAATTGCCATTCTGGCATGTACCAGCATCTCTTCCCATCCCACCTGCGTTCTCTTACTGCTCTCGTGTCATGTCAGTTGTGATACTTTGAGCACCTTTTGGAAAATCATACACCACTTTCCCTCGTAATGCCCACATTCATGTGTGCCTTCTACCTCAATAATAATAATAATAATAATAATAATAATAATAATAATAATAATAATAATAAAAAAACAATAATACATTCCCTCGTAATGCCCACATTCATGTGTGCCTTCTACCTCAATAATAATAATAATAATAATAATAATAATAATAAAAACAATACATTCTATCGTAATGCCCACATTCATGTGTGCCTTCTACCTCAATAATAATAATAATAATAATAATAATAATAATAATAATAATAATAAACAAAACATTATGTCATAATGCCCACATTCATGTGTGCCTTCTACCTCAATAATAATAATAATAATAATAATAATAATAATAATAATAATAAACAATACATTCTGTCATAATGCCCACATTCATGTGTGCCTTCTACCTCAATAATAATAATAATAATATTTAATAACAATAATACATTCCCTCGTAATGCCCACATTCATATGTGCCTTCTACCTCAATAATAATAATAACAACAACAACATACTGTGGTTTTGTCTCAGTAAAATAATATACTTCATTCATATTCCGCTCTATCTCCCCGAAGGGGCTCAGAGCAAATACATAAATGGCAAACATTAGGTGCCGTTATACAATTAACAACAAAGACAGACAGTGCACAGACAGAGGCAAAGGCTTCCCTCTTTTCATCTCCGGCATCTGGAGGTTTTATATGTTTTCCCATTGGTGAAGGAGATCTTGCACCATCAAAGCCTCCTCACGGATGGTCATCCAACCTCTGTTGAAAAGCCTCCAAAGAAGGAGCCCCCACCAGACTCCAAAGCAGAACAGCTATTATGTATGATTTCAACTATATACAATCAAACGAGAATATAGCCAAATACACTCAATTGCAAGCCGCCTTGAGTTGCCAACCTGTGAGAAAGGTGGGCTGTAAACAAAAGGATGGATGGAATGGAGAGGAAGCCTCAAAGCTGCATTGAGTTCTGGTCTTACCTGGAAACAAGAGGGTCCTGGCTTTCCCGCGGGAATATCCGACTGGTAATACACCTTGAGTTCGGGCACCATGGCGATGACCGTCTTGATGACCAGGGAAATGATGTCGGACCAGATCTTCCGGATCTCCACGCCGCTGGACGAGAGCCTGTCGAGGATGCTGGAAAACGTCCGTTTGCTCCCCGTGTTGGCGCTGTCCGAGTGGACAAAGTTCCCGCTGTGGACGTTGAGGGAGTAGTTGGTGAGGTGCATGAAGACCAGGTGGAGGTTCTTGAGGTGGGGCTCCTGGTAGGGCTCCGTGCAGAAGCGGCAGAGCCCGTCTTTGGCCACGTACACCTCCAGCGGCTCCAAGGATTTCAGCAGGACGTAGAGGCGGATGTCGAACTTGAGCTTGTCAATCAGGAGGGGCTTGGAGATGTACTCCTGGACCACCGCCGGGCGCGTCTGCAGGTTGCTCGACATCCGGACGTCGCCAGGGTCCTTAATGAGGTAGATCCCGTCCCCTTGGCACCCGCCGTCGGGCTTCACGATAAAGGTGGGCCTCCAGGAAGGGTTGTTGTCCTTGATCATGTGGACCTGAGAAGGGAAAGCGGGAACGGGAAGGCCCTCGGTTGCATCTCGCCTCCACAAAGAGCATTAACCCGCGGTGCTGAGGAGCCACCCAAAGCACTCCCTCCAAGGACATGGCAAGTCACAGTGGGCACCATGAACATGTAGCCCAACCCCTGCCAATGCCCTCCCCAAATTGCCCACCACCCATGGAATGCTTTCATTCAGGGACCATTTCATCCTAGGTTTTATGTGTTCCCTCCACCACAGACATCCCAGTGTTTCTGACTCTCTCCATTGGTGTGGAATTTGTATGACTCTGCCCACAGCCTGTCCCTTAACCCTTAGAATCATAGAATCATAGAGTTGGAAGAGACCTCATGGGCCATCCAGTCCAACCCCCAGCCAAAAAGCAGGAATATTGCATTCAAAGCACCCCTGACAGATGGCCATCCAGCCTCTGTTTCAAAGCTTCCAAAGAAGGAGCCTCCACCTTTCTTACTCTTCTCAACTCAGTTTGTCTGCACAACAAACAGAGCAGAACTAATCAGCAACTAAACACACTGCAGCAGTTTGGGGATTGACTCCACATGATGGAAGCTGTAGTTCGTCCTGCATCAAGTCAGAGCACTTCATCAAGTCAGAGCACCGACAATGGACCTGGACCACATTTGGCACACAGAACTCCCATGACCTTAGAAAAATACTGGAGAGGTTTGGGAATAGCCATTGTAGATACTGGGATTCATAGTTCACCTGCAATCCAAGAGCATTCTGTACCTTACCAATGATGGTCCTGAACCTAGCTTGGCACACAGAACCCAAATGACCAACACAAAATACAGGAGAGGTTGGGGGAGAACTGGCCTTCCTTTCTGGGAGTTGTAGTTTACTCACAACCAGAGAAATGGTGACCTTGTTCAGCCAGCAACCTTTACAATTTTGGAACTGCTTTGAACTCCCAAATACTGGGAGTGCTGAATGCCAAGGGAGGGCCGTAATGCCTTGAGGCCTCCCACACAACTTCTCAGGGAGTCAAGGGAAGGCCTGCTCTGTCTTCCAGAGGGGAAAAACCCACAGTTGCACATGAAGGAGAGATTCATGGACTCAGGAAATCTGCCTTGGGAAATAGAGTTGTGACAACGAGGAGGAAAACAAGGCTACCGACCTCGGCCAGGAAGATGGCGAACTCCTCCGGCAGGATCCAGGACCGGGGGTAGAAGTTGTACTCCTCGGGGAAGAGCTCCTGCATGGTCCGCATGGCACGGCTCAGCGTGATCTTGCGCACCATTTCGGTCATGCCTGAGGACGGAGAAGGAAGGGGCATTGGACACACCCGGAGGTTGCAAGAGGGTTCCCCCCAAAGACAGGAAAAAGGTTGACCTTAAAAGGATATTCATCACACACACACACACACACACAAATAAATAAATAAATAAAAATGGAGACCCCATTGGGCAAGTCATTCTCTCACAGCTTCAGAGGAAGGTTGTGGGAAACCTCTTCTGCAGGAATCTCTTGGAGAGAGACCCCAAAAGCCAATGCCAAGTTGAAGGCACATCACAACAACAACCAAGAACAGCAACAACCAAGACGCGAGAGATTTGTTTGGGGGAATCCATGCAGCAATCCCCCTCTCCGTCCAATCACGGCTCTTCATTTGCAAGGCATTACCTGGGAATTTGTTGACCAGGCCGGAATAGATGGCGTTGTCGTGAAACGACACTCCGTGCCAATAGATGTCGCAGGGCAAGCGCCGGCCAAAGGGAAACTGGAAAGAGAGGAAACGCAAGGGTCAGGCAACTCAAAACAGATGAATATGGTTTGACCCCACTTGAACTGCCCTTGCTCTGTGCTATTTATCCCTGGGAGTTATGCTGAGTTTATTTCATTCTTAGATGCACTTTTTTTCCAAGTGGCCAGCTTCTGGTCAGTTTAGTACAATGTCAAGTTTTTAACTTGGTTTGTGGCTTTTCTATACATTATAACTGTATTCTCAATTCGCTTCTGATACGATAAATACATAAATAACCCCCACCTTCCCTTGGGGCAAGGGAATCCATATCCTCGACCAAAACAAATGGACAAGTGAACTAGAAAACAAGAGAGGTGGACGCAGGAGGAAAGGTCAAGCCACACGCAAACCGCTTCAGGGCAAAAGCAGCACATCCTCGACTGGGAAACACTTCCAGCGCCAGAGTTTCCAAAGCAGAAAGACCCTCAGGCTGTTGACTGGGATTCTCTTTGCCCACCAAGTTGTGGACTTTGCTCCCAGGGAGGAGCGAGACCACCAGCTCTTTGGTTTTCAAACTTCACCAACCCACAGTTTTGCCAACAAGCACTCTGGGACCAGAGGGGGGTCCAATTAACAAGGTAATTAAACCAGTGTTTCATTTCTCCCCTGATTAATAGGGAAGGGTGAGACCCACAACTGCGAACGGGGAGACGAGGATTCATCTCATTGTCGTCTAATTCTAGGAGATGAATGTGCAAAAAACATTTAGGTGGCGAGAAAACAAAGAAGGGGCGTCATCTCTGGCGAGTCACATTTTTCACACCACACATCTGGAAAGCAGGTGGAAAAGTGGGTTCCGCTCCCCCTTTTTCCTAAATCAATATTTCCCGGTGACATCACAGAGGGCCTCTTCACCCAGCCAATCTGCTTGGTTCCCTGTCCTTCCCTCTGTTCTGGGCCTGTAAGGGGCCTTTGTTTTAGTTCAAAGCCCTCCATTGATTTAAGCTGGATCATGAAGGGGTCTGTGTGCCAAGTTTGGTCCAGGTCCATCAAGCCACGGAGGAGCCTTTGCGGGACAAACCAACATACATACACGCATACTAATAAAAAATTCATTGTAAAGGTAAAGGTTTTCCCCTGACATGAAGTCCAGTCGTGTCCGATTCTGGGGTGTGGTGCTCATCTTCATTTCAAAGCCAGCGTTGTCCGTAGACACCTCCAAGGTCATGTGGCTGGCATGACTGCATGGAGCACCGTTACCTTCCCACTGGAGCGGTACCTATTGATCTACTAACATTTGCATGTTTTCAAACTGCTAGGTTGGCAGAAGCTGGGGCTAACAGAGGAAGTGGACCTTCCTATGTGCTCTCTACGTGGGGCTAGTTCAGAAGCTTCAAATGGTCCAGAGACTGGCAGCAGGTTACTAACTGGAGCAACATTCAGGGAAAGAACCACTCCCATGTTGCGGCAGCTCTGCTGGCTGCCAGTCTGCTTCCGAGCTAAATACAAAGTGCTGGTTCTTACCTTTAAAGCCCTAAACCGCTTAGGTCCAGACTATTTGACAAACCGCATCTCCCTCTACAGATCAACTCGAACACTGCGGTCATTGGAGGAGGTCCTCCTCTCAGTCCCACCCCTGTCCCAAGCACGGCTGGTGGGAACGAGAGGAAGGGCCTTCTCCGTGGCTGCCCCCTCCCCACCTCTGGAACTCCCTTCCAAAGGAGTTAAAGGTGGCCCCCTCCCTCCCTGCTTTCAAAAAACAGCTGAAGGCATACCTTTGCTCTCTGGCTTACGAGGAGGAGGAACAGTAGTTGGTAATACTCCCATTATACATCTGATTAATAGTTGCCATCCATATCCGTGCCCTGCTCACCCCACTAGCTCAATAGATATCTTGAGCAATGATCAATCGATTTGCCCCAAAGAAATGGGAATCAATGTTTCCATTTGATGTTGGATGTTTTGACTTATGTCTGTTGTAACAGGCTGTGCTTTTTATTTAATTTTAGTTTGTTAAGTTATAATTCGTATTTATATGTTGGGTTGTATACATTTTGTTAGCATGGATGTATTGTATTCAAGCATTGAATGTTTGCCTTTTATGCTTGGAATCCACCCTGAGTCGCTTTGGGGAGATAGAGCGGAATAGAAATAAAGTTTTTTTAATTATTATTATTATTATTATCATCATCATTATTATTATTATTACTAGCCGTCCCCTGTCACACGTGGCCCAGTCTGTGTGTATGTGTGTGTATATATCTGTGTATATATGTGTGTTTGTGTGTATATATGTGTGTTTACGTGTGTAAATATTTGTGTATTCATGTGTTTATATGTGTACATGCATATTGTGGTATTTTGGCCTGCATCAATAGGAGCCTAGTGTCTAGGTCCAAGGAAGTCATGCTCCCCATGCTCTATTCCGCTTTGGTTAGACCACTTTACCTGGAATATTGTGTCCCATTCTGGGCACCACAACTGAAGAGAGATATTGACTCTAAGCTGGAATGTGTCCAGAGGAGGGCGACTAAAATGATCAAGGGTCTGGAGAACAAGCCCTATGAGGAGCGGCTTAAGGAGCTGGGCATGTTTAGCCTGAAGAAGAGAAGGCTGAGAGGAGATATGATGTTAGCCATGTATAAATATGTGAGAGGAAGCCACAGGGAGGAGGAGGGAGCAAGCTTGTTTTCTGCTTCCTTGGAGACTAGGATGAGGAACAATGGCCTCAAACTACAAGAGAGGAGATTCCATCTGAACACGAGGAAGAACTTCCTGACTGTGAGAGCCGTTCAGCAGTGGAACTCTCTGCCCCGGAATGTGGTGGAGGCTCCTTCTTTGGAAGCTTTGAAACAGAGGCTGGATGGCCATCTGCCAGGGGTGATTTGAATGCAATATTCCTGCTTCTTGGCAGAATGGGGTTGGCCCAGGAGGTCTCTTCCAACTCTTTGATTCAATATGTGCTGGTCTATATGCATATTTGTGTGTATTTATGTATGTATGTGGATATGTATATGTGTGTGCATGCGTATATGTATATATGTATGTGTGCATGTATATGTGCATGTGTATATGTATATATGTGTGCATGTATATGTATGTATATGTATGCATATATGTGTGTATGTATATGTGTGTGTGCATAGATATGTGTGTGTTTGTGTGTATATATATATATACGTGTGTGTGTGTATGAATATGTGCATATGTATATGAGTGTATGTGTATATGTATACATGGTGTATTTTGGGGTTTTAAAGTCTGTTCTGCTGGGGTTGTGTGTGTGTGTGTGTGTGTGTGTGTTTATAGGTGACAGACACTTGTTGGACTGTTAGGTGTCTTGTGTCCAAATTTGGTGTCAATTCGTCCAGTGGTTTTTGAGTTATGTTAATCCCACAAACGAACATTAGCTTTTTATTTATATAGATTACTACTACTATTATTATTATTATTATTATTATTATTATTATTATTATTATTCCTTTACTTTTAGGTTTCCTTTTCCATGGGGGTCGTGCACTCCTAAACCCAGTGTATGGACAGGGCTGACTCCAGGAAGCCTTTCCCCCTCTTTTAAGTAACTCTATAGTTGGACTTACCCTTTTGTGACATTTAAGCACGAAATGTGTGGGACGCATGGGACTGTGAATACCGAAATGAGCACACGCATCCCTAACCAAACTAAAAAGAGATTCCAGTTCAGTGGGTATGTTATGAAACTGAATTATCAAGATCCTTTAATTCGGTCACTCTGATTCCCCCGCCCCACGCGTGTTCCCCACCCATTACAAATGGCAACAGCACCCTCTACAGACCGCAACCCGCAAGACTCCCAGAGCTAATTATGCTAATGCATCAATATTTATGCAAATAACCCAGTGGAGGAAGGTGTCATCTTGTTCTGAAAATACTTCTTTTTCGGAAGCGTTATCCCTCCTGATTAATACTGACAGGCCTAATTCTCAGCCTGACTCTCCGCTGCCCCTTCTGCAAATCTATATAAATAAAAATGTAATGTTCGTTTGTGGGATTAACAGAACTCAAAAACCACTGGGGGAAATGACACCAAATTTGGACACAAGACACCTACCAACCCAGTGTATGTCCTCCACTCATAAAACACTGAAAAACACAGCAGAAGGGACTAAAAAGCCCCCAAAAGCTAAATGATGGAAAGCTAAACGACAATACAGAAAAAGGGAAGAAAGAGGGAGGGAAAGGGAAGAAAAAAGAAAGAAAGAAAGAAAGGAAAGAGGGAGGAAGGGAGGGAGGGAAAGAAAGAAGGAAAGGGGGAAGGAAGCATGGAAGCAAAGAGAGAAGGAAGGAAGGAAAGAAGTAGAGAAGGAAGAAAGGAGAGAAAGAGGGAGGGAAAGAAAAAGGGGGAAGGAAGGAAAGTTAGAGAAGGAAGGAGAGAAGGAAAGAAGGAAGGAAAGAGGGAGTGAAGGAAGGGGAGAAGATATAGAGAAAGAGGCAGGGAAGGAAAGAAGGAAAGAGAGAAGGAAGAAAAGAGAGTCAGCAGAACAGAAAGAAAAAGGGGGAAGGAAGGAAAGAGATAGAGAAGGATGGAAGAAGAGAAGGAAAGACGAAGGAAGGAAGGAAGGAAGGAAGGAAGGAAGGAAGGAAGGAAGGAAGGAAGGAAGGAAGGACAGGAAGGAGGATGTGACGGAAGGAGGGAAAGAAGGAGAGAAAGAGGGAAGGTTGGCCACAGCAACGTGTGGCGGGTACAGCTAGTGATTTGTACCCATTAGTGCACATCAGTCAAATTCATGCAAAATCCAATTTTGGTTGACTACGTTTTTCCAAGTCTAGCCCTTCCCCTCTTCCCTAAAAGTGGGTGCAAAGAGGAGCAGGCCCCCAAAACCTTGCCAGCATCCATCAATATCACTTCCTCACTTTCCTACTTTTTTCCCCTCCTCTCCTCCTTCCTTGCTTCTGCTTCGGTTTCTAAGGATCTGCAGTAAACATTCAATTAGGCACCCCGCAGGTCTAAGTCACAAAATAGGCATGGGCAAACTTCAACCCTCCCTCAAAGTGTTTTGGACTTCAACTCCCACAATTCTGAAAAATCCTGCAAATCTCTTGGGAAGAATGGCGAGGCAATGTCAGCGTACTGGAAGAAGCAAAGACCATAAGCACTGGAGCAATGCTCCTATGACAACAATTCTGCTGGACCGAAGGCCATGTTGTCCGAATGCCCGATCACTGTCTCCCAAAACAGTTACTCTACTCCCAACTCAAGAACGGGAAACAGAATGTTGGTGGACAGGAAAAGAGATGTAAAGATGGGTTTAAAGCCAACCTTAAAAATTGTGCCATAGACACTGAGAGAGAACTGGGAAACCCTGGCCCTTGAGCACTCTAGCTGGAAGTCAGCTGTGACCAGCAGTGCTGTGGAATTCGAAGGGGCACAAATGGAGGACGAAAGGGAGAAACGTGCCAAGAGGAAGGCGCGTTATGCCAACCCTGATCGGGGCTGGAGGTCAGCTGTGACCAGCAGTGCTGTGGAATTCGAAGGGGCACAGATGGAGGGCGAAAGGGAGAAACGTGCCAAGAGGAAGGCGCGTCAAGCCAACCCTGACCAGGGCTGGAGGTCAGCTGTGACCAGCAGTTCTGTGGAATTCGAAGGGGCACAAATGGAGGGCGAAAGGGAGAAACGTGCAAAGAGGAAGGCGCGTTAAGCCAACCCTGACCAGGGCTGGAGGTCAGCTGTGACCAGCAGTGCTGTGGAATTCGAAGGGGCACAGATGGAGAGCGAAAGGGAGAAACATGCCAAGAGGAAGGTGATTCAAGCCAACCCTGACTGGGGCTGGAGGTCAGCTGTGACCAACAGTGCTGTGGAATTCGAAGGGGCACAAATGGAGGGAGAAAGGGAGAAACGTGCCAAGAGGAAGGTGTGTTAAGCCAACCCTGATCGGGGCTGGAGGTCAGCTGTGACCAGCAGTGCTGTGGAATTTAAAGAACCACAAATGGAGGGTGAAAGGAAGAAGCATGCCAAGAGGAAGGCACGTTAAGCCAACCGTGACCATGGCCGCCTTCCACTTTGAAATTGATTCCTCACTGCAGGAGAACATGTGGGCTCCACAGCCACCGCCAAGACACAACACTTCGAAGGCCATCATACTCGGACAACGAGGGATTGCCTCAGTAAGTAAGGAAAATAAGTAAAATACAGGGCTTTATATAGTCTAGAGATTCCATCCTAACATTGACGCCTGGAAAACTACAAGGAGGTGGTGAAGAATTCATGGACTGCAGTTCAAAGTTGCTGAAGTGTTGATGACTAGAGACAAATTATTAACTCTTGGTGGGAAACAACATGTTTACATTACCAGAGACAATGGCTCTTTTAAGTAAGGAAGTCAACACAGTGGCTCCTTATGTTTAGGAATAAAAACCAGCATCACTTAAGGAAGTCAAACAAGGCTCCTTGAGAAGGAAAACCTATTATTACATAAGGAAGGAGAGCCAACATCTGTCCGGGAACTGATGGAGTCAGCCTGTTTTAATGGGGCCAAACCACCTCTCATTCGTTTACAACTTTCAGAACCACATCAATAGAAAGTGATACATAAAAGAGACCCTTTTCTCTCAGAAACAGTGTGTCAGACAAGGAGGGGGTCAGTCTAGATGACCCTTGGGGGTCCTTTGCCAGGCTGATTTTGTGATTCTCACCAGGAAAGCTGTACCTGGCTCCAGCCTCAGCCACACCTATTCCTGGGGCAAGTGGATGACATCACAAAAGCCATTGTCTCCCATTTCCCAGCCAGGGTGGCTAGCTGGATGGAAGAATAAGGGGCCGTCCATTCAGGCTGGACAGAATGCCTGGCTTGTCTTCCCATGGGGATGAATCCAGGTTTTATGTTTTGACGACATGCATTTATTTCCAGCCCTTCTCTGCCCATAGCCAGAGAAATTCGACTGCAGCACCCATTGCTCTCTTTCTACTCCCATGATCAATATCCGATCACAGCTTTGATTGTCCACAGGCACACTTGCATTCTGGCCTTTCCTACATTTCACAACATGCCTTGTTGGGGATCAGACTGCATCTCCCATTATTTACTGCAATCTTCGCCACTTCCAACTAGCCTTTATAATAACAGTAACAATAATAACAATAATAAAGCTTTCTTTATATCCTTCTCCCTCCCCCCAAAGGGACTTGGAGCCGCTTACAACAGTGGCATAAGTATCCCATCCTCCCCAGCCGTCTTTTGTTCAATTTAATAAATTGTGAAGGCAGATAAATAGACAAGATATAGGATGGAGGGATGGATAAATAGATGGATGGATGGATAAATATATGGATGGAGGGAGGGATGGATGGATAGATGCATAGGTGGATATATAGATGGATGGATGGGTAGATTGATTGATAGACAGATAGATGAACGGATAGATGAATAGATAGAAAGATATGGGTGGATGGATGGGTAGATTAATAGATATATGAACAGATAGATGAACAGATAGATATATGTATGGATGGGTGGATGGATGGACAGATTTATGGGTGGGTGGGTTGATTGATAGATGGGATAGATGGATGGATGGATGGATGGATGGATGGATGGATGGATGGATGGATGGATGGATGGATAGATAGATAGATAGATAGATATGTAGATAGATGGAAGGATGAATAGATATGTGGATGGATAAATGGATGGATGGATGGATGGATAGATAGATAGATAGACAGATAGACAAATGGGTAGATGGATGAATAAATATGTGGATGGGTGGATAGATAGATAGACAGACAAATGGGTAGATGGATGAATAAATATGTGGATGGATAAATGGATGGATTAATTAATAGATCAGTAGATAGACAGATAGATGGATGGATGAATAGATAGATAGATGAATAGAAATATGGATGGACAGGTGGATGAATGGATGGAGGAATAGATGGATGGATGGACGGACGGACGGACGGACGGACAGACAGAAAAATGAATGGATGGATGGATGGATGGAGAGCTAGCTGGATGATAAACTCATAGAATCATAGATCCATCTAGTTGGATAGATGATGAATGGATGGATGGATGATAGACAGACAGGCGGACTGATAGATAAAAGAGTCATGATAAACTGATAGATATTTTTGCATGCCTTCAATTCACATTAACGTAAGGATGGATGGATAGACAGGTAGAAAATAGATCAAATAGATGATAGATAGATAGATAGATAGATAGATAGGGAGGGAGGGAGGGAGGGAGGGGATAAATATTGTGATGTACCTTCAAGTGATTTCCAACAGAAAGGCGGATAGATAGATAGATAGATAGATAGATAGATAGATAGATAGGCAGATGGATAGATGGATGAATAGATATGTGGATGGATAAATGGATGGATGGATAGATGGATTAATAGGTAGGTAGAAAGATAGATAGATGGACAGGTGGATGAATGGATGGAGGAATAGATAGAAGGATAGATACATGGATGGATGGATGGATGGATGGATGGATGGATGGATAGATACATAGGCAGACGGGTAGATGGATGAATAGATATGTGGATGGATAAATGGATGGATGGATGGATGGATGGATGAATTAATAGGTAGGTAGGTAGGTAGAAAGATAGATAGATAGATGGATGGATGGATGGATGGATGAATAGAAACATGGATGGGCAGGTGGACGTATGGATGGAGGAATAGATGGATGGATGGACAGAAGCATCTTCAGCCAAGTAAACTAAACAGGGCAGGATGTCTTGGTGTGAGCGCCTTCGAGGGCCACTAGGGGGCGGAGCCTGCAGTGTTTACTTCCGGCCTGGGCCTGCTTCGGCCCGCCCACCCGCCGGGTATGTGTGTGTTTGTGTTTGGACTCCAATTCCCAGAATGCCTCAAGGCCGGTGCGCCTGTGAGGAACTGTGGGAGTTGAAGTCCAAACGGGGGGGGGGGGTGTTACCTCCTTCCACCGGAGCTGCTTGAGGCTGCGCTTGAGGGCCTGGAGCGAGGTGCGGGCCTTGGAGGAGTCCACGGTGAGGGCGCGGCGGGCCCGGCCCCGGAGGCGGAGCGGGGAGGGCGGGGGCGGCGCCGGAGGGAGAAGGGACGCCTGGATGGAGCCCCCCACACGCCTCCGGCGGGGCCTCCCCGGGAGAGGAGGGGCGCCACCAGCGGCACCCCACGACCCCGACCCTCCCACGCCCCCTCCTCCTCCTCTCCCCCGCCGAGAAGAAGGCGTCGCCATGGCTTCCCCCACAAGGACGGGCGGACCGACGCGCTGCTTCCGGCTCCTCCTCCTCCTCCTCCCGGGTGAAGAGGGAGGGAGGGGCCTCGCCCGCGTCGCCCCGCGAAACAGAGGCGCGCCCACGACAGGCGGGGGGGGGAGGGGGGCAGACTCCGCCTTCCTTCACCTTATCCTTCCTTTCCCTTCATTGTATCACCATGTTGAACATTGACACCCATCACCAGCCATTGCCAGGAGGGACAAAGAGTTTCCTCTATGCTGACGATCGTGCCATCACCACCCAAGCAGGGAGATTTACAAATGGTTAAACAGAAGATCTCCGAAGCTTTAGGGGCTCTTACTGCCTATTACGGGGAAGGCCAGCTTGCTCCATCCATGTTTAACATCTACACCAGAAGGAGGAGAGAGTTTCCTCTATGCTGACGATCGTGCCATCACCGCCCAAGCAGGGAGATTTACAAATGGCTGAACAGAAGCTCTCTGAAGCTTGAGGTGCTCTTACTGCCTATTACAAGGAAAACCAGCTTACTCCATCCATGTTGAACATTTACACCAATCACCAGCCACTGCCAGAAGAGAGAGAGGCCCCTTCGGGGTGAGAAGGGCGGGGTAAAAGAACCCCAAATAAATAAATACAGAGTTTCCTCTATGCTGACGATTGTGCCATCACCACCCAAGCAAGGAGATTTCAAATGGTTGAACAGAAGCTCTCTGAAGCTTGAGGGCCTCTTACTGCCTTCTAAAAGGAAAACCAGGTTGCTCCATCATTGTTTAACATTGACACAAATGACCAGCCACTGCCAGGAGGGACAGAGAGTTTCATCTATGCTGACAATCGTGCCATCACCACCCAAGTAGGGAGCTTTGAAATGGCTGAACAGAAGCTCTCTGAAGCTTTAAGTGCTCTTACTGCCTTCTAAAAGGAAAACCAGGTTGCTCCATCCATGTTTAACATTTACACTCATCACCAGCCACTGCCAGAAGGGGCAGAGAGTTTCCTCTATGCTGACGATCGTGCCATCACCACCCAAGCAGGGAGCTTTAGAAATGGTTGAACAGAAGCTCTCTGAAGCTTTAAGTGCTCTTACTGCCTATTCCAGGGAAGGCCAGCTTACTCCATCCATGTTGAACATTTACACCAATTACCAGCCACTGCCAGAAAAGAGAGAAAGTTTCCTCTATGCTGACGATCGTGCCATCACCGCCCAAGCAGGGAGCTTTAGAAATGGCTGAACAGAAGCTCTCTGAAGCTTTAGGGGCTCTTATTGCCTATTCCAGGGAAGGCCAGCTTACTCCATCCATGTTGAACATTTACACCAATCACCAGCCACTGCCAGAAGAGATAGAGTCCCCTTCGGGGTGAGAACGGCGGGGTAAAAGAACCCCAAATAAATAAATAGAGAGTTTCCTCTATGCTGACAATTGTGCCATCACCACCCAAGCAGGGAGATTTAGAAATGGCTGAACAGAAGCTCTCTGAAGCGTTAGGTGCTTTTATTGCCTATTACAGGGAAAGCCAGCTTACTCCATCCATGTTGAACATTTACACCAATCACCAGCCACTGCCAGAAGGGAGAGAGAGTTTCCTCTATGCTGACAATCGTGCCATCACCGCCCAAGCAGGGAGGTTTAGAAATGGCTGAACAGAAGCTCTTTGAAGCTTGAGGTACTCTTACTGCCTTCTAAAAGGAAAACCAGCTTGCTCCATCCATGTTTAACATTGACACAAATGACCCGCCACTGCCAGAAGGAGGAGACAGTTTCCTCTATGCTGACGATCATGCCATCACCACCCAAGCAGGGAGCTTTGGAATGGTTGAGCAGAAGCTCTCTGAAATTTGAGGTGCTCTTACTGCCTATTACAGGGAAAGCCAGCTTACTCCATCCATTTACACCAATCACCTGCCACTGCCAGACAGGACAGAGAGTTTCCTCTATGCCGACAATCATGCCATCACCGCCCAAAAAGGGGAAAAAAGGATGACCCAAACAATTACCGTCCAGTCAGCCTCACGTCAATACCAGGCAAGATTCTGGAAAAGATTGTCAAGGAAAGAAATGCGGTCATCGCTAATAGTCAACATGGATTTATCAAAAACAAGTCATGCCAGACTAATCTGATCTCTTTTTTCAATAGAGTTACAAGCTGGGTAGATGCCAGGAATGCCGTGGATGTAGTGTACCTGGATTTCAGGAAGGCCTTCTTTGACAAGGCCCCCATGACCTTCTGGCAAGGAAACTAGTCCAAGGTGGGCGAGGCAAAACTACGGCAAGGTGGATCAGGAATGGGTTAAATGAACAAACCCAGAGGGTGATTCTCCCCAAGGCTTCCTCCTCTTCATCCGGGAAAGAAGTGACAAGTGGAGTGCCATCAGGAGGGTTCCGTCCTGGGCCCGGTCCTGATCAGGATCTTCATTCATGACTTAGATGAAGGGTTAGAAGGCAGGATCATCAAGTTTGCAGACGACACCAAATTGGGAGGGAGAGCCAAGACTCCAGAGGACAGGAGCAGGATTCAAAGGGATCTTGGCAGATTAGAGCAGGGGTCCTCAAACTAAGGCCCGGGGGCTGGATGCGGCCCTCCAAGGTCATTTACCCAGCCATCGCTCAGGGTCAGCCTAAGTCTGAAACAACTTGAAAGCACACAACAATAACAACAACAACAACAACGATCCTATCTCATCAGCCAAAAGCAGGCAGATGACAGATTAGAGAGATGATGGGCCAAAACTAACAAAATGAAGTTCAACAGTGACAAATTCAAGAGACTCCACTTAGGCAGAAAAAACGAAATGCAAAGAGGCAGAATGGGGGACGATGAGGCCTGGCTTGAGAGCAGTAAGTGGGAAAAAGATCTTTGAATCCTCGTGGACAGCAAGTTAAACATGAGCCAACAATGTGATGTGCCGGCAAAAAAAGCCAATGGGATGTTGGCCTGCATCATGGAAACTTTTGGCTCCCTAAATCCAACCAATGTATTTTCTGTATCAGACATAAAAGTTCACAAGCACACATATAACAAACACATGCAAATATCTAGACTCCCCTATAAATCACATGCCATTTACTTTATTGTTACGTATCAAACTTATATCCTGCCTTTGTTTCAAGCCACAATGTAACAAATTTTGCAAAATTATTACTATTTACGTAAATTACTTCTCATTAAGTCGCTTAATTAAGCCTCTCTGGTGGGTTTCAAGTGCTTTAGGTTCTGATCAAATAGTTGTTTTTTTTAAAATATTAAATTGTCTTTATGAGAGGTTATGAGATTTCCCGCTCAGCCTGATTGGCTGTTCCAAGTGCCAGTCATCCATATTTCCTGTGTGAAGGTTCCTGCCCACATCAAGACTACCTCTTCCTCTGATTGGATGAGGGTCATGTGGGGGAATGTTGGTCAATCAGCTCAGGCAGGACTCCTCGGGAGTCACAATGGGCAAGCAAAACAAGGCAGACGTAGCCAGGCAGTAGTTGGGTGACACGGATAGATCATTTGGATGTCATGTTCGTTTGTGGGATTAACATAACTCAAAAACCACTGGACAAATTGACACCAAATTTGGCCATAAGACACCTACTAACCCAATGAGTGACCATCACTTTAAAAAGTGGATTTTGTCATTTGGGAGTTGTAGTTGCTGGGATTTATAGTTCACCTACAATCAAAGAGCATTCTGAGCTCCATCAATGATGGAATTGAACCAAACTCGGCACGCAGAAAATGCTGGAAGGGTTTGGTGGGCATTGACCTTAAGTTTGGGAGTTGCAGTTCACCTACATCCAAAGAGCACTGTGGACTCAAACCATGAAGGATCTGGACCAAACTTGGCTTGGATACTCAATACGCCCAAATATGAACATAAGTTGAGTTTGGGAAAAATAGACCTTGACGTTTTTGAGTTGTAGTTACTGGGATTCACAGTTCACCTACAATCTAAGTGCATTCTGAACCCCACGAACGACAGAATCAAGGCAAACTTCCCACACAAATCCCCCATGACGAACAGAAAATAGTGTGGGTTGTTGTAGGTTTTTTGGGCTATATGGCCATGTTCTAGAGGCATTCTCTCCTGACGTTTCGTCTGCATCTATGGCAAGCATCCTCAGAGGTAGTGAGGTCTGTTGGAACTAGGAAATGGGTTTATATATCTGTGGAATGACCAGGGTGGGACAAAGGACTCTTA